GCTCTAAATATCAACCTCCCATATGACCCCACAAACCCCCTATTGGGAATATATCCTGAAGAACTCAAATCACTCTATAAAAAAGATACCTGCACACGTATGTTTATTGCAGCATTGTTCACAATAGCAAGAACCTGGAAGCAACCATGCTGCCCATCAAAAGAGGACTGGATTAAAAAAATGTGGTACATATACACGATGGAATACTACGCAGCCCTAAAAAAGAACAAAATCATGAATTTTGCAGCAAACTGGATGGAACTAGAGTCTATAATATTGAGTGACTTCTCACAGAAACAAAGATCCAAATATCACATGTTCTCACTCATATAATGGACCTTGAACATCCAATGTAATATTATAAGAAAATGACTGACAGTAGTGGGAAACTATGGTGGGGAGGGAGATGGGATCAACGGTAGCAAATATCCGTCTGGGGACAGGGAAACACCTGTTATCAACAGGATGCCTGAATGAAACGTATTTGTATACCTAACCCTTAACTGTACCCCACAACATCATAATAAAAAATGTTGATTATAAAAAAAAACGTTTAGTAGAATTCACCAGTATACCCACCTTGGCCTGATGCTTTCTGTTTTGGAAGGTTCTTAATTATTGATTCAATACAATTGTTACATATAGGTTTCTTTAGATTGTTTCTTCTTGTCCAAGTTTTAGCAGATTGTGTCTTTCAAGGACTTGGTTTGCTTCACTTACTATCTTTATTTTTTTGATTTGGGATATCACTATTGCCCAAGCTGGAGTACAGTAACATTTTCATAGCTCACTATAGCCTTGACCTCCTGAACTTAGTTTATCCTCCTGCCTCAGCCTCCTGAGTAGCTGGGTCTTAAGGTATGCACCATCGTGCCCAGCTAATTTTTTGGTTTTTTGGTTTGTTTTTTTTTTGTAGAGATAAGATCTTACTATGTTGCCCAGGTTGGTCTCAAACTCCTGGGCTCAAGTAATTCTCCCGCCCCAGTCTCCCAAAGTGCTGGAATTGCAGGCTTGAGTCACCATGTCTGACACCTTTATTATCTTTTTAATGTCTGTAAAGTCTGTAGTGTTGTCCTCCTCTTTTACTTTTGATATTGGTATTTTGTATCTCCTCTCTTTTTTTTTCCTAGGCCTCTATTGATTTTATATTTTCAATGCCATTGATTTCTGCTCTAATTTTTATTGTTTCTCCTTCTGCTTCCTTTGGTTTTAATTTGCTTTTCTTTTTCTAGTTTCCTAAGGTAGAAGCTTAGATTATTGATTTGAGATATTGAGTATCACAGAGAACAGTAAGTGGCTTTTTCTTCTTTGAACCAGGAAGTACACATTTCATTCTTGAGGGAATATTTTTTTGTTTGCCAGATATTTACTGAGCACCTACCATGTGACAGGCACTGTAGCCTTGGCCTTCACAGAGTTCACACTTCTGAACATCTTGCCATTTAAAACAACACCAAGATAATCCAATTAAGAAATTATGGGTGGCAAAATGCATATAAAGACTGACAATTCTGAGTGAGTTACCTTTTCTTCCTTTACCCTTTTTCTCAGTGTATTACTTGCTGGAGGAGTTCTAGTTTCATAAGAAATAGGCTTTATTTGGCAGTCTTGCTTGGCCCAAAAGCATAGTTAATATTTCTATCCCATTCCTATTGCCTATCCCTCAGCTCTGAGCTTAGAAACTCTGACCACTAGCCTCTAGAGAAGTCCTCAAGGTTTGTGGGGGCATTGAGCATGAATGACATTTTTACCACATAGAACTCTACTCCTCTATTTTTAAGTCTAGATTTTGCATTTAAAAAATAAATTTCCAAGGTATCACTCTTTATGTTATAGGACCTTGAAATAATTGAAAGGGCAGACTGAGAGTGGGAAGCCATTTTTCATCTTGCTCTTAAACCCTGATGCAATGATGAGAAAGTTGAAGCTATGTTTTCAGAAAAATGCACGCTTTGGGTAAAATTAACTTTACTGACTTTGTCTTTTCAGAAACAGATTTCCTGGTGCCAGGTATCAGAGGTATCTCATAGCGGCAATCAAACTTTCCTAGAGTAAAGGGGATTTCAAAGGCCTAAGATATCATGCATTGGGCAAGGATTGTAAAAGTCATGAAACTTATAATCATAAAAGTTATGACCATACAGAGGGAGAGCAGGTGGGGATTCAATCTTCCAGTAAATTAGGTACTATCTACAGGGAAGCCAAGGATCCCCCAAAGCTACCCACTGGGAATGCCTAGGAGATAAGGAGAAGTGCACCCTCCATTAGCTCTAAGGAATGTCATTCGAGAAGGGGCAGGAGAATTAGAATCTTTGTCACGCCCTTCTCTAGGAACTACAATAATGTAGGCAGACATTAGTGGGTTTCTGTGTCACATGTTCTCCAGGACATCCACAGGTGGTCGATAGGTAAGTCATGTCTACCTGATTGCAACATCTCCAAGGAAAAGGATATAAGCCAGGGTTTTGGGGGGCTATGATGCCACACTCACCTAGAGTGTAGGCCCACTCCCTGTCTGTGGGAGGTGAACTTTTCTTAAATAAAGCTTATCTTCTTTCACCTCTGTGTGTAATTCTTTGCATTTACTCGTATTTCTGGGTTGCCGGTGGTGCTGTGCCTCCCTCTGGCTCTCCTCTCCCTCTCCATCCATCCACCCTCACCCTATCTGGACCCTAACAATAATAAACCAATTTTTTTGTTAATATAGGAATTTTTCCATGATCTTTAGTGAGGTAAATTTTCAAAATTCACTTATTACGCACTTACTTGGTTTCCTATTAATTTCCAGAAAAAGAACAGGATGGAGAATTGCTAGGCAATTTGAGATACACAAATTGCTTATGGAACTGACTTCCAACTAGTTCCTAGTTTAGGTCATAACTAAGAATAAGAAAACAACAGAGCCCAGGATTAGGGTGAGGTAAGTGAAACAATTGCCTTTGTGCAAAATTTATGGGATGCCAAAAAAAAAATCTTAAGATGACTATTATTTTACTACACAACATTTTAAAAAATCAAAATTAAGGTGAAAGTTCCATAAAAAACTACATATCAACAATTTAAAAGCAAGATGTTTTATTGCCATACTGAACCACCACATCTGAGGTAAAAGGAAAAATGTATGCCCCTATATTACTGTTTTTGTGTATTCTTAATGGTTACTTTTTTCAAAAAAGTACTTGAAAAAACTACTGAAACACTTAAAAGTAGGCTTAAATATTTTATTTGTACCAAAACCAGAATTTACTACAATTTTATTTTGCTGATTTTAATGGGAGTAATTTCATCAATAGCTTTAAAAATACTTTGAGGAGAAACCAACTGTTTAAAAATGTACATAAAAGCATGTGTATTGGAGTAAATAGTTTTTCTTTTGCTTTCTGCTCCAATGTGACTTTCACATGGAACTGGAAACAAAAATATAATTAGTTCAATGTTTTACATGATGAGTTAAACAACTTGGAATCTAACACAGAACTTTGGCTATATGATCCATTCAATCAAGTAAAATAAATCATCTAAAGAGGTTTCCCTTTATACATTTAGGAATTGCTTCAGTGCTTACTTTTACTCGGTGTCAGATATTTGTACTCATAAGAACAAAGTCAAAAAAGGAGTTGTGAGGGCTAGAATGGATTCCTTCCGATTGAATACACTTAAGATATATTTTTGGAATAATTTCAGGTCTATTGTGAACAGAATTACTAGGAATTTGGGACAGAAATGACGATACTTTGAGAAAGTAGATTATAACTGTGGAGCTATACCTTCATAATTTTAAAATTGGAAGTAGCTTTGCTGCTTTTCTCTACCCTGGCGTGTTTTTGAGTTTATTTTTATCCTGTTCAATAAATTTGCAGTCCTCCTAAAAATGAAAGTGAAAATGCCCCAAATATGCTTGAACTCCAAATCAACGTTAATATGAAAGGAGAATTTTGGCTACTTTTTGTTTGGAGTCGAATATAAAATTAAGAACTACATGCCCAGATTTCATAACATAAATTTGCAAAAGATATTTTGAGACCTCTCTTGGCAAAAATTTTATTCCATTATGATTCCGGGTTGCACTGTAAAAATAATCTGTTTAGAAATTTGGGTTTAAGAAGTGTAACGTGTAGTTTCCTTGAAAAAATATTTCACTGAACAATCAAATGCTTCATCGCTGCTGGAGCTTTTTGTAAATTAATCAAATTGAGTGCAGTGTGCAGTGGGAGGTGTAATTCATTAAGGAGAGAGCTAGCAAAGACATACCGGGGGAAAGGCCATCTGCTAAGTGGTGGGGAGAGAAAAATCAGAGACGATACAGAGTGCCTAAAAGTGCCCGTGTGTAAGTAAACAGAGCAGTGTGCCAGGGGCAATGTTACAGTGGTCTACGGAGCTAGGATGGATACTAAGAATGGTAGACTCCAGAAGCTTCACCAAGGAGCTTGTGACTGAATTCCTGTTGACCCAAGGCTGACGCTGAGTGGTGAAGGAGAGAAATTGCTTTTTAGGCAGAGGGAAGCCCAGATGCCAAAGGGAGGAGGAGATGAGGAAGAACACAAGTAACCTCTTGAAACTGAATGCAGCGTGAAGCTTCTAAAGGAGGTGTGGGTGAGGGAGGAAACGGTGTCAACGGAGTCAGTGAACTGGAGTAAACATCCTCTCCCCAGGCTGACTAACACCTTGTGGGAGCAAATGAGCAACAGAAACGAAAAGAGCATCTGCTGTTCTTCCAATAAGCTCAGGAACAGGAACCGGCAGACCATGGGCAGGCAAGTAAGACGGGTATTAGTTCTCCAGAAAAGTAGATAGGAGCATTCAACAAGTGGGATGTATGTTAGCATTTGTTTCAAGGTGAAGAGTAGTGGTCCATCGGGTGGCCACCAAGCCTGGGTACTTGAAAGGAGGGGCTTACAAAGTACTTTAATGAAAAGGAGTTTTGAGCTGTCAGTTCCAAATGATTCTGTTAATACCTTATAGTGTTAATCTTTCTCCTCAAAATGTTTGTCTTTCCATAGCATTGAACAAATGACTGAGATCCTGTTGTGTCTATCATCTGTTGAAGCTGCCAGTCTTAAAGAAGGAATCAATTTCTTTCGCAATAAGAGCACTGGCAAAGACTACATCTTATATAAGAATAAGCACCGCTTGAGGGCATGCAAGAATATGTGCAAGCACCAAGGAGGCCTGTTCATAAAAGATATCGAGGACTTAACTGGAAGGTACCAAGAGTACTTTGCTTTCTCACCGGTAACCCTTCTTGCAATTGGATTTGGTAGGAAATGTGTTCATCTAGAAATGTTAAATGAACCAGTCAGCAAATTACTTCCCCTAGAAAATTCTGAAACCTGTATTGTTGCTCATTTAGGACATCTCTCTGATCTCAAAATAGTTATGTTTTACTTAATTTTCCTCTCTATCATAAAAACTATAATTTAAAATCTATTCCTAGCCTGATAAATAGTAAAACCTCTAGTTGACATGCAGCAGTGTGTGTGAGTGTTTGGGTTTGGATGGGGAAGGTATACATCTTTTTGGTTTTATATTCAAAGACCCAAGCCTCCTATAGGTTTTCTCTCTCACTGCCCCTAGAAGTGTGTGTGTATATGTGTGTGTGTGTGTGTGTGTGTGTGTGTGTGTGTTAGTGTGTGTGTGTTAGGGGGGCACTTTTCCAAACCTTGTTGGAGAGCAGATAGAATTTTCCTAGGAGCCTAGTTGTGATTAGAAAACAAAAAATGGCAGAGCCCCAAAAGTTCCTGCCCTGAACAGTGGATATTGTCAGCATTTCTTAGAAAAATTGATATTGTTTCCCTCACCCTCCTCACCACCTGTTTGCCCCACATAAGTCAGAAAGTGCAGCAGCAATACCAGGACAGGATTGTTTTGTTTTCTTTTCAGTGACTGCTAAAGAGATAGTGGCGCTGCCTGGAAGAGCCAGAAAGTATTCTCAGGCGTATGTGTTGTCAGCCTGATCCTCAAAACCTGTAATGCTGTGAGTGGTCAACCCTACCTTTCAAACTTTGCTTTAGCCTAACTTGACCTACATGGTTTTGGTCATTTGGTGAGGCTTTTTCCCTTTCACTGTGTTGTGAATCTTATTTCTCAGGTCAGTGATGGACAGGTTAGTGCTAGTGCCCGCAAAGGGAGCTAGGGAGTTGTCAAGTATTATATCCCTATTAGGAGGAGGGACCCAAAATAACCCGGAATTTATTTATAACAAATTATGTATTTATTGTTACATGTTTAAACTTTAGTTACCTTCTAAGTACTCTCCATTTGATACAATATACCCATCAAGATGCTTTTTCCACTGCTCAAGACAGTATTTGTACTTGTCAATTTTGATGCTTTTAGGGCTTCTGCCATTTTTTGGTTTCACCTCTTTCACATTGGCAAGCATTTCCCCTTGAAGATTTTATGTATCTGGGGAAACAAAAGAAAAAAGTCGCTCAGGGTGAGATAAGGAGGGTAGCGCATGGGAATCATGCCATGTTTGATCAAAAGTTGCTGAGCCCTCGGTATGGTGTGGGCAGATACGTTTTACTGCAGCACGTTGTTTGTGTAACTCAATCATCATGAAATGGGCATATGCACTGAAAGAATTTCCAAAAATATATATATTTCATTGAAGCCAAATGCAGGCTTTCACAAAAATGCTAGCTGGTACACTGATGCTGATGGATTCTTAGAACACTTACCTAGCAGCGGAAGCCTGTGCTACAAAGGGACTGCCCTCCAACAAAATAATTCCGCTTCTTTTGGGGGTCTCCCTTACATAATGGTAAAGAAGACAGTCACCTAAGCCTAGAATGTTCTCACACCTGCACACAGATTTTCTTCACTGCATACCTAGTTTCAGGGTCAAGTCTCACATATTATTTGATTTTTAAATGCTAACCGCTGTTGCACCTGTGGCTTGCCTGGCTCCTCAGGCGGGGCTGCCAGATTGGCAAGTTGAAATACAGGATGACCAGTTAGATGTACATTTCAGGTAAATGATGAATACATTTTTAGTATTAATATGTCCAAAGTAGTTACTAGGACACCATTTTAGCTGGCAACACTACCCTAGGAGAATTTTGATGCTCTTCCATCTTCTCAGTTGATTCAAGTCAGGGAAGCCTCAGATGTATGTAAGCTTTTGTCTGCACTCCAGGGTGTTGAGGCTTTTCTCTTCTAACTGTTGAAGTTGAGAGGCTCTGGTTTTCCTTTCTTCTCTCCATAGTGAGCCACTTTGTGACAGACAGACAGGACAACTAACTGGGAAAGAACCCCTTCCCCATTTCTCCCTTGCACTCACCATTTGAAGCAGGCTACCACTTTGCCTTATGATCACAAACATTTCCTTTCAATAAATAAGCCTACCAGGCACAAAAGCCCTTTAACCTCAAGTTCCTGTCTACAGAGGGCTAAGGACTTGCCCCACATGTGCACAAACAAATTTAGCTTGTCCAAAAGTAACCTTTGCTTCATTATAAAAGAAAAAATCATCCCCCTGGGTGGAGATTTAAAATGATAATGATGGCTTGGCACAGTTGCTCATACTTGTAATCTCAGGAGCTTGAGACCAGCCTGGGCAACGTAGACCTTGTCTCTATAAAAAAATTAAAAAACCAGATGGGTGTGATGGTGCATACCTGTAGTCTCAGCTACTTGGGAGGCTGAGGTGAGAGAATTGCTTGATCCCAGAAGTTGAAAGCTGCAGTGAGCCAGGATCATGTCACTGCACTCCAGCCTGGGCAACAGTGAGACCCTGACTCAAAAAAAGAAAAACGATGCTAATGGAACATGCAAAGCATGTTGAGGGTGTGACACAAAACTGCGCAGATATGATCCTCAGACCACTCTGAACATATGACGATGACTGCTGGATGACAAAAGGCTAAGCTACCCTGCTTAGAGCCAGCAGTAGACTCCTTTCGGTTGTTGTCTCCTTTTCTGCTTTAGCTGAAAGCCCTAATAAACAGCCTTGGTCAAGTTTATGGGACTCTCAGTTTATTCCTATTTACTGAGGATCAAGATCCCAATGCCAGTAACATTCCTGTCCGCCAACATGGGGTGAAGGGTCCCGGACCCCTGACCCAAAGGACAGCTCCCCACAGTGGCAGATAAGTGGCCACCTGATCATTTTCTTTGGTGTCTGTACTACTGGGTGAGTTCTCTAGTGGCTCGGGGACTCCGTGGTCACCCCCTTGAACAATGCTATCCATCTCCCCTTTTTATTAGCTGCTGTATTTTCTTACCCCTCTTTTCATTCTGCCATATCTCATCTGTCCCGTCTATTCAGCTGAAACCCAACAGTCACTGGCTCTGGAGTATTCTCCAGTCTGGACTTTTTTTCTTATCAGGTCAGGCTGTGAGATTTTTTTATCTCCATCAGTTCGTCATGGTAAGATGCTCCTTCATCCTCTCTTGGAAATCAGTTCTTGGACACCAGTTTCTCTCTGTTCTGGTCTGGTTATCAGGTCAGGCTCTGGGATTTTTATCTCAGTCAGTTTGTCATGGTCAGATGCTCCTTCATCCGCTCTTGGAAATCAGTTCTTGGCATCTGGTGTCCCTCTCTTCAGGTCTGGTTGTCAGGTCAGGTTTTGAGATTTTTGATCTTGGTCAAGTCTTTATGGTCAAGTGCTCCTTCACCCACTGATAAATCATTTCTTGGAAACCAATTTCCCTCTGTTCAGATCTGGTCCTTCCTTTTTCCTGTCTCTTCTGTTTTCAACCCAATCACCTTGGCAGGCCTCCAGCCCACAACTTAACTGGGCTGAATTTTTATTACCTGAGTAACACCTCCTCTTTAAGTTCACCTCCTCCTTGTCTCTCATTGTTACTGTCCCTTTTCTTATTTTTCTGATATTGTGTTGCCTCTGTATGGGCGTGAGGTGACATTGTTTCTCACTAGGCCCCAGCACTTTGGGCTGCTTTGTGAGACATTTAACTTCCTGCCCACCCAGAGTTGACTGAAAGATAGTTCCTGATACTGTTCTAAGTTAAAAAAATAAAAATAAAAAACTAGCAACCTTGATTTCTCTTTTGTTTCTGATTTTGTATGTTACCAGTATCTTTCATAAACTTTTGTTGAAATTGTCCTGTTTCTAGATTAGATTAAATATCAGATGGCAACTTGAAGTTCTGTTTTGTTTAAAACTTTGAAACTTCTTGAAATTTTCTCAACTTCTGTCATCCTTGAGGAGCTCAGAAGTCTGTGGTCTGTCTTGTCATTTGTCAAAACAGAAGTGCACATACCCAGTGATCTTTGCTATATGTGCAAATGGTCCCTGCACACTTCTTAGCTATCTAGCTCGATAATCTTTTTCCTCATTTTGTCTGCTCAGTCTGCTATCTGATTTCATATTATAAGGTAATTATTAATAAATATAAAATCAGAGTTAGGACAACTTGAAACTGGTGCAAAATTTATAGTCTCAGAATTTTTTTGTGTGTTAGAGTCTCACTCTGTCGCCCAGACTGGAGTGCAGTGGCCGCTCCCGGTCACCGCAGCCTCGACCTGCTGGGCTCCAGCGAACCTTCCGCCTCAGCCTGTCTCTTAGAATTTAAGGGCTATTTTGGGGAAAGCCAGGTTTACGGGAGACTGGTACCTCTTAATATGCCTCCTCGTTCCTGCCTCCCACTTCCTTGTCCTCTTTAATCTATCTAGCCCTCCTTAAAGAGGTAAAGAGGTCGGAATGAATGGGACAAAGAATGGTGCTACAATCCCGAGGAGCTGATTGCCTGCCAGAGACAAAAGCTACAGCCCTAACTTGGTCCCTTAATTGTAGAAAACCAGCTCTACTGTGGGAAGTCCTCTAGGCATTCCAAAAGATTCTTTCCTGGAATACATTCTTGAGAGTTGGGATCAATTCAAACTAGATGGGCAATGTTTTTTTACAACATTGTCTGGCTTCAGTTCCCCCTTGAAAGACCCAGAGAAATGGCCAGAAAATGGTTCTATGAGTTATAATACCATCCTGTAGTTAGATCTTTACTGTAGAAACCCCAACAAATGGTCTGAAGTTCCTTATGTCCACACTTTTATGAAGCTCTGTCAGGATCCCAAACTTGGGACTCTTCCAGGGTTTGTGTAGCTTCCCTGGGACAGGTGCCCAAGAAAAGCTGAGCTTCTTTGACTCCCTTGATCCTATCTTATCAACTTTTTTCTGGAGGCAACAACCAGAACAAGAAGGAGAGCTAGGGCCATCGTCACCTCCTGGTGAGCCTTCTGCCCAGCCAGAGCCTTGCCTCATACTGACCAGGGGCAAGCATGTATGTACCACATTCTCCCATCCACTTCTCCAAATTCAGTTATATCTCCTTGAGTTCTCTTTGTAGCTGTTATCTGAATAAACTGTCTTTGCTAGTTTCCAGGTTCCAGTTAAGAACAAAGACCTACCCGTTCTGTCCTACCTATTAGCCACTTTTCTTCTTGACACTAACCAAGATCAACATATCTTACAAGCTATGATTCCATTTCTAAAGTTTAACAATTTTCACACCATCTCTCCTGCTTGGGAAGCTGATGTCTTCCTCCTGTGTACCTGTCATGCATCGGCACACGGTTCTGGTTCTGCCAGTTTTCCCTTTTTGGCCCAGTATGTTAATTAGCTGCAGTTGGAATGTTCTGTCTTAATTGTTTAAAGTTTGTTGACTACTCATTAGTAAGAAAGGAGGAGTCATAAAATAATCTTTCATCAATTGAAGTGTGGAATGTGGTTTTTGCCTTGCAACTAGAAAAGAACATAAAATAATTCTGGATATAGTGAAGCTCAGAAAAGTCAGCATGACTCACCTATACGTTTAAGTAGATGTTTTTAGTTAAAAAAAATTTTTTTTTGAGTTAGAGTCTCACTCTGTTGTCCAGGCTGGAGTGCAGTGGCACGCTCATGGCCTCCCCAGCATCGACCTGCTGGGCTCCGGCGATCCTTCTGCCTCAGCCTTCCAAGTAGCAGGAACTACAGGTGCACACTACCATGCCCGGCTAATTTTTGATCTATTGTAGAGACGAGGTGTTGCCAAGTTGCATGGGCTGGTCTCGAACCTGTGGGCTCAGGCAATCCCTCGCCTCAGCTTCCCAAAGTGCTGGGATTACAGGCTGAACCACTGAGCCCGGCCTTAAAATTTTGATATTTTTGATTTGAGACATATTTATTTGTAAAAAAAAATTGTTTAACTAAAAAAAAAAAAAAAAAAAAAAAACCCAACAAAAACACCATCAGAAATACAAACAAAATAAAGAGAAAAAACAGAACTATTTGTCCTCTACCTTCAACCCCTCTTCCCTTTCAAAGATCTGGAAAGAAATGTGGCAGGGTAGGGGAAGGCACTAAGCATCCTGTTTTGATACAATTGGGTTCTCATTTTGAAACAGGCTTGCTGGCAGTAAGTAAAAATACAGGACACTCAAATTTAAATTACAGATAAACAACAACACTTTTTTTTTTTTTAGAATAAGTATGTCTTGAATATTGTATAAAGCATTCTTATAATTAAAAATTATTTGTTGTTTACCTGAAATTCATATTTAACTAAGCATCTAGTATTTTATCTTGCATCTATGCTTTGAAATCTTAAGCTATAAAGAGATCTCTCTCTTTTATTTTGAAATACGAAAATTTTAGTTGAACACTATTCTAGAAGTCAAGGACTGTAGAGTGATTGTCAATCATGGATGTGTACTTACTACTACAGTCTTTTCTTGTATTGGCCCCAATTGGATCTTATCTGTCTTAGCTTTTGTTAGAGCTATTTCTGAAGACTTCCTTATTATCTTGTCTCTGTTGATCTCGAACACATGTCATTTTGTGAAAAGTGAAAGATTTATTTGTTCTGAAGAGAAACCAGAGCATAACATGCCATTTTGTGACATGGAGTTTATCTTCATTTTTTAAATCACCTATTGATGATTAGTCTAAATTTCCTTGGATATTTGAGTATTACCTACTAATAGCTTTTTTTATGTGTTTTGTGTTTAACCAACTAGTTCCATAATAATTTCATCAAAAAATTATTTAAGCCTAATCAAGATTAATTTTTATTTTTGTCATTTTATAAACCTAAGTATGGTTTTTCATCCAGGTCTGTTAGATGCACAAAGCACAACTGGAAGTTAGATGTGAGCACCATGAAGTATATCAATCCTCCAGAAAGCTTCTGTCAAGATGAGTTGGGTAAATACCATCAATATGGATAAATGTATTATGCTATTATTGTTATTGGGGTTCTTCTTGTCAACTTATTTCCAATTTCACTTGAAGCTTTGGATATATTCTGATTTTAAATGGTCAAATCTCTTTTTTTTAAATATGAGATAACTTAATTTTGTGGAAAATGGAAGCAAAAGGTAAAAATAGCAAATATAAACTTTCTTTTACAATATATGCTCCATCAAGGTCAAGACACTTTTGTAAGTAACGATACCAGCCATTTAGTCTATCCCTAGAAATCTTAGGGTCCTGGGAATCTAAGTATGTCAATACAATCTTTTTTACTCTGTTTATTGAAGAGAAAAGGGCACTCGTGAAAGATTTTTTTTTTTTTTTGGTAAGGTTAGGAAACAAAGAGGGTAGAAGCTGAATCAGGGCTTTAAGGTGAATGCCTAATGATTTCCCATTGAAACCCATGCAAAATTGCCCTTGTTTGATGAGAAGAATGAGCAGGAACATTGTCTTGGTGGAGAAGGACTTTCTTATAAAGATTTCCCAGATGTTTTTCTGCTAAAACTTTGGCTAATGTTTTCAAATACTGTCATAATAAGCAGATGTTATTGTTCTCTGTCCCTGCAGAAAATCAACAAGCAAAACGCCATAACCATCCCAAAAAAATTGTTGCTATGACTTTTGTTTTTGTCTGGTCTGCTTTTTCTTTGGCTAGACCACTTCTACCTCTTGGCAGCCATTGCTTGATTATGCTATGTCTTCAGAATCATACTAGTAAATCTATGTTTTCTCTCTTATTACAAGTTTTTTGAAGAAATGCTTTTCAGAACCTTGATCTCACTTGTTTAAAATTTCCACGGAAAGCTTTGGTTTTGTCTGTAGCTAATCTGGTCACACTGATTTTGCAAAACTTGCTCAATTTTAATTTTTCGGTCATAATTGTGTAAGATGAGTCAATGGAAATGTCCATGGTGTTCGCTATTGTTTGTGCTAGTAATCGTCCATCCTCTTCAATTAGGACACATGCAAGTTGATTTTTTTCCTCACAGAAGGCAGTGGATGGTTTGCCTCTGAGGGCTTCCTAGTCTCTTTTTTTAAAAAATTTTTTTATTTTAAGGATGTGGGGTATAATTCACGGTTAGGGATACAAATGTTCATCATGCAAGTACCCTTGTTGATAAGGTGTGCCCACCCTCCCTCGACTTTTTTTTTACTATGATATTGTGGGGTACAATTAAAGGTTAGGTACACAAATAGGTTTAGTTCAGGCACCCTTGTCGATAAGAGGTGTTTTCCCGTCCCCAGACAGATATTTGCTACCGTTAATCCCATCTCCCTTCCCCTCCATAGTTTCCCACTACTGTCATTCATTTTCTTATAGTATTACATTGGATGTTCAAGGTCCATTATATGCATGAAAACATGTGATACTCGGATCTTTGTTTCTGTGAGAGGTCACTCAGTATTATAGACTCTAGTTCCATCCAGGTTGCTGCGAAATTCATGATTTTGTTCTTTTTTAGGGCTGCGTAGTATTCCATCTTGTATATGTACCACATTTTTAAAATCCAGTTCTCTTTTGATGGGCAGCATGGTTGCTTCCAGCTTCTTGCTATTGTGAGCAATGCTGTGATAAACATACATGTGCAGGTATCTTTTTTATAGAGTGATTTGAGTTCTTCAGGGTATATTCCCAGTAGGGGGATTGCGGGGTCATATGGGAGGTTGATATTTAGAGCTTTTAGGAATCTCCACACTGCTTTCCACAGAGGTGGCACCAGTTTACACTCCCACCATCAGTGTAGAAGTGTTCCCTTTTCGCCACACCCTTTCCAGCAGCTGCTATTTTTTGAGTTGTTGATAATTGCCATTCTGACTGGAGTTAGGTGTGGTTTTGATTTGCATCTCCCTGATGATTAGTGAGGTTGAAAATTTCTTCATGTGTCTGTTGGCTGCTCGGATGTCTTCCTTTGTGAAGGGTCTGTTCATAT